TCCTCAACCACCGCCGGAACCTCGCCGGACCTCCGCAGGATAAAAATTATTTTATTATTATTACTATTTAATGTTATTATTATTAATTAAAATTTTGCTCACCCTGAAAAAGAATCTGATCCGCCCCTGGTTATAATTTCACAATTATCATTATTTGACTACAATTTCTAACCACTATCACCTTTATTACGACCTTCAGATCACCATCAACCGAATATAATATCCCAACCGCAATGCAATATATTAAAAAAATTATTTTATTATTATTACTATTTAATGTTATTATTATTAATTAAAATTTTGCCCACCCTGAAAAAGAATCTGATCCGCCCCTGGTTATAATTTCACAATTATCATTATTTGACTACAATTTCTAACCACTATCACCTTTATTACGACCTTCAGATCACCATCAACCGAATATAATATCCCAACCGCAATGCAATATCATTCTTATAACCATTATGTCACTTGGTTATAGTCTCCCATCCACAATTGCTAGTAAATGTGAACACATGCGAAGATTAATAAGTTTGATACATATATATCATCAATACTAATCAAGAGAACACGAATTTTGTTATCAACAATATCGACGCCTGCTATCACTCACAAGATCAACATGTCATTAATATATATGACCGTCTATAAGGTTGTCGTACATCATTAATTAATATCATTGTCTATATGATTATTAATGCACGTCCCATCAATTTCATTGAATATTATTGTTCATAATATCGATGCACATTTTTGAAACCAACTTTGACTTTCAATGTCAATACTAAAATTTATAATAATTTCCTTAGTCTCCTAGTCTCACGTTTACTCTCCTAAAAAAAAGATTAAAAAAATCTTTAAAATAATTCAAATACCTCGAGAGTTCTTCAAATTTCATCATGAATTTCACCATCCATGTTTTATGTTTTATATTGCATATCACAAAATTCAATTGTATTTATATATCAAAAGCCTACCCATTTATATTTAGTATGTACAACTTTAGTACCTAAATTCAATCAAAGTATATGCCCATTTTATTTTAAATATTTTTATATAATTTAAAGATTTAAATGTTATAGAAATTATTCTGTGCACACAGTTTATCATCAGGAAATTAATCAGAATGCATCACGTCAGTGATATCGAGCACGGTACCAAACGGGGATGACATGACATATTCTAATTAATCATCGGACGATATTCAGCATCAATAATTTGCCTAAATGTTGTGAGGCAAATAAATAAATATTTTCATATGTATGGACAGACCCGTAAGGTGCGAACCGTGCCCTCCCGCCTGCCCAACCCACTCCATATCGGCCCAAACCGGCCAAACCCTAGAAGAGAATGAACTGCAAAATCCTACGTTTAAGATTGCGTTGAGGAATCATCGCGAATCACCCAC